CGATTGGCGCCAAAAAATTCAGTTTCACCAACGCACTAGCCAAAACATCGTAGGAGCAACACTGTGCCCCGCTATACAAACCCCCTTCCTAGCATCCTTTTCCACCATACCATACCACCACTTTAAGACTTAGATTTCTCGTTAACTTTAATCATTTCAGCCCAAACTAAAAAAAAAAGGTGTTCTGATGAATTGTATATAATATTTAGAACATGGAGATACACATAAAAGATAATTCTGTTGGTTTGACAACAGAATGCGTTTCGGCATTGTTAGAAATTTGTTTCTCAAGTGGAAAGTTTAAGATGTGCTGATACACATTTTTTTATGTTAGATTGATTCAATTTTTATGCCTTCTTTTATCAAAATTTGTTCCTCGGAATTCAGGAATAGTTGACGGACCTTAAAACGGAATCCCGCTGAGTTCTTCATTCTTCATACCCCTCAGTGCTTTCGCAAATCTTGCACTGAAGAAACGCGAATGAACTTACACATGTTTGACATGAGCCTTTTACTTTTTCCGTTTGCATGGTAAGTTCAAGTTCTACTGTACTACTATTAAAATCGTAATCCACCGAACGTTTTCCATTTAAAACGTTCCCGTTCGAATTTTTTCACTTTGCATTTCGTGACATTTCACGCTTCGGGAGCTCGCGCCGCGCTGTCAGTTCCGCACACCTCGGACTTTTTAAGCCTGTCTGAATGTTTATTTCTTCGACTATCTACGTTTGGATTTCACACGCCATAATTTGAACGGAACAAGGTACCAAAAGATGAATAAAAACTCTGATTGATGACCCTAAACGAGATGGGCTATAAAAAAATCAAATCATGTGTTACATCTGGTAATTGGACGGGCCGGGACCTGTACCCTTCGGTTAAGGACTGCGTGTAATTTAGGACCAGGTCAGATTGGATATCAAAGGATGCCTCCGTACCGTCGCCGAGAAAAACCCCATCAATTACTAGTAAAATGAGGTAATAAAACTGAAAATAACATTTTAAAATTGTTAAAAACCCTCATTAACCGCCCTCGGACTGTCGAGTGACCGATTTCAAGTCCGGTAGCCGGGTCCTTTTTTTTCCGCCTGGGTCGAATCAAGCTCGGCTTTTAAGCGCCCAACGCTACTTGATCTAATTGATTTGTTATCCGCCGTGTGATACGCAGCCCGACGAATTCCACGTATCATTCCTTAAATATGTTTGTTATGCGAAGAAAGGCAGACCTTTGATTTTTTCCCTTTTTGCATGCCACGTCTCGTTCCAAAAACAGGTGAATCATTGAAGAGAAATGCCGCCCTGGATAAAATCATCCAACTAAAATTCCAGACGTTTCATAAAATAAAACGTTCGCGAGAAACTGTTAAAAATAAAAAGATAAGCATCTGTTAAATATTAATTGTGTATTTTACTTTTTAATATCAATCATAAATAATATATAAGAATATATAAATAATTATAAAAGAACCTTACCTCAGGTGATGAAGATTCCACCATGATTTTAGATTGGCAACAAAAATTCATATAATGATGATTTGTATAATATATTTAGAACACGAAGATGTACATAAAATCTTACAAAATAACCTTCTCCACTGGAGAAGAGCCATGATGGAGAATGGAGATTTTATATTGGCGTCAAAACAATTCATTGTTACCAACATAACATTGTTTATAAAAACATTTTTTTTATTTTGCCATATTATTATGTCGTTACCAATTATTGCTTTCGGCATGTCTCTTTTATTAATTTTTTTTTTATACTTTCCTTAATATATCAACTGCTCTTGTTGGTAGATTTATCCCATGTTTGCCTATCCTCTCCAAAAGGATTTCTCTGTCTACCACGGTTTTGGGACTTGCCAGCAACATGTGGGTTGCGTCTTCAGTAGTTTGGTTATGACAGGAGCAGAATGGGGTGTCTATAATTTTTAATCGGTGTAGGTGGGGTGGAAGGCAATTGTGGTCCAGTCGTAGTCTGTTGATTGCTGTTAAATGCCTTCTTGGGAGATTTTTGTTTCTAGACCATGTCTGCGTTTTTGTTTTGGGCTGAATTAGGACCTGTGACAAATCGATTTCAACCAAGAAATGGTAATAATAAATGATGTATACAGCTTGTAGAATATGTTCGTTTGCAAGTTAAATCGTTGCAGGAGAGATTTAAATTTTTAAGAATAGATTGTTCCTAGGCCATGAGATTTGTTATTATGCCTTGCATTGGCATAACGAATACGAGACATTTCTTTTCTTTTTTTTTTCAAAAACAACAACGGAATAATATACTGTTCAAACAACAAATCGAGCTAAAATATAAATTATGAGATTGTACTGCTGGGGTTTGAAGGGTGATGAACAAGATGAACAACGAGGGTCAAGGTTATAAGCAGGGTGAGGACAATATGATTCGCATTTGAGGCAAATCCTCGACCAAACGAAAATGGCGAAATGTGTCTGCCAGACCAAATCAATGATGAAAATAATGAAGATGGGTTTATTTTATGGGCGTCAGCCTGCCTTTCCTTCAAGCTTTCATCGAGCTTCAAATCGAGGTAAAATAAAAAATGTGAGATTTTTGTATTGAGATTTGAAGGGGGATGAATAACGAGAGTCGAGGTTATAATAATTTAATTACTCAGCAGGGTCAGGAAAAGTTAATTCGCTTTTTACACAAATTAACGAAGAAAATGCTTTCTTCAATTTATCGAGAATTACAATTAATTAAGGTTTTTAGTCGAGGTAAAAAAAGTCAATGGCACGAGCGGGATTCGAACCCACGATCTTCGGCTTGATACACCGCTACTCTACCACTTGAGCTAACGTGACCTCGATCCACATCAACTTCCTATCTCAACCGCACCTTTTGAATTTTCCCTCCTTTTTGCCATTTTTCAAATGTCGTGTAATCGGGTTGGATTCTCGACGACAAATGAAATGGCCACGGAGAGCTTTTAGTGAAGTATACTTCATTTTTTAATCATTAAATTCACTAATTTCGTGGTCCGCTTGATATCATTGTCTTCTAGTGTACTTCGCCAAATGGCTCCCTATGTCCGTCGTAGTTATATATGATATAACATATACATATATATGGATACAATGCCCCGGATTAAGTTGCGCTTTTTGCTATTTTTTCGACCTCTTCGTTATATTTATTGCCGCTGTGTCCTTTGACCCACATCAAACATACATCCTTGCTTTTGTTCCTTAGGTCAAACAGTAGTGTCTTGACACTTAGGGTCTTTAAGTAAGCTTTGGTTCACCAGGGCCGTTAGAGCGCTTAGGCTGTCGTAATAAAAAGTGCAAATTCCTTGTCATTATGTACATAGATATATACGGATATTTTGACAACTATTTTTTTATCAGTGTATTTACTATTTATTTAATTAATTTATTATTTATTCTATACATTTATTTATTTAAATTATTTATTCGTTATTTATTAAGTAACATCTAACTACATCAGGAACACCCTCGACGCATGACTGATAGGCATTACCTAAAGCTCAAAAAAAAAAGAATAATAATAAAAATAAAACTCAACATTGATAGAAACACTGCAACTAAACTCACCAAATTTCTCGATAACCTTTAATTTCAGCCAACACTAAAAAATGAAGTTTGTACAGAATATGTAAAACATGAATATATACTAAAACAATATTTTTATAAAAGAAGTTTCCCCACTGGAGGTGAAGATTGAATAAAGATTCCAAGATGGAGAATTGGCGCCAAAAACTTCAATGTTGCCAACCACATTGAACAATACTTTTGGAACGACCAGCCCTGAATTCATGGATTTCTCGTTAACGTTTAAAAACTGCAGCCCACATAAAAAATAGTGTTCTAGTGATTTATATATGTATAATAAGTAAAACATGAAGATATGCCTAAAAAATAATTACAAAGGGACCTTTTAACTTACCCCTTAGCGGTGAAAAGCCGTTGGAGGCAAGATTCCAAGATGGAGTCAAACAAATCAGTGTTACCAACATACGAGCAGAACAAATTAAGAGCAACATTTCTTCCGCCCTAAACTCACGGGATAACCTTAAACAAAATTGCTAAATTTTGTGTCCCTAGGTTAGAAAGGGGGATAAATATTCTTCTATTTTAAACCATATTTATGTACTTTATGTATAAATTCATTAAACTTTAAGAATTTTAATGCCTAATATTATCAAAAGGGTTGCTTCTTGTGGCCTGCAGGTGCTTTTTTATTAGCAACTACTGACTGAATCCCCATGATGAAGTTAGAGAAAAACCAAACCTATTGGCGAGAAAAGCGAGAACAGTAGGGTAAAATGATCGAAAACCGCCTAGTATAACTAAAATACTTTTTTAAATCAAATTCACTCCTGTAAAATGGCTTTGATAAGTTTTTTTCATAAAAATATTATTAAGTTGACAATCGCTGTATAGAGACAAGTGTGCTCGTATCGACGAAATCTACCGATTTAGTTAACAATAACTCTTTAGGTTAGGAAGGTTTGAACCAGTAAGTCTTTTCGTATTTCGCCTTGCGATATTGTCGCCTAAGTACCTTACCTTTGGCAGGCACGTGGATCAATTATCTTGGCAATTTAACACTCATCTTGCACGTCGTCTTTTTTGATCGAGATCCTGCAGTTGGAGGCAACTGTGCTCCATCTATCACGTATCCCGGAGCCGACAGCTTTGCAAATTTCCCTTGCACAAACAAAAGAACAATTATTTTAATGTATGTCCTCGCCTACTTTCTTGCAATAACTTAGGAGGGGCTTCACAAGTTCCTTGTAACTTTCTATTTGTGAAAATAGAAAAATTACATATATTATCATAAACTGACTTTAAAGAGGCACTAATAGTAAATTCATAGAGCTATAAAATGTTACTATGTCGTGTGAAATGTGCCAGCTTATATTAAAATTTTGAGAAAGACATTGTATGCTATTCTTTTGTTAGAATATTGTATTTCTGATGATAAGTCATGATGGTTAATATTGTCTTTTCTTTTTTTTTAGGTGTGTATCATCTTATGCAAACGTATCAAATCTTCCCCAAAAGGATCCATACACCCAGAGTTCACGGATGGTCGATCTGAGGTTAGTCTTCATGCTCCGATAAGGTTTACAGAAAATTGACCGTTGCTAGGCAAACACTCGGTCGATTTTGAGGTGCCTTGGCTCGTCAAGCGTTTCATGGATCGTTCGAACCGTTCCAACCTGTGCCAGGGACGTCGATGGTTTTTCTGGAAGCGTCCCATTGTCCTTGATTGTTCGGTCAATATAACTAAGGAGCAAGGAAAAATACAATAAGCCAAAAGCAGTGGTTAGAGAACAAACCCTTTCTTCCTAGTACCTTCACCATTGATGAAAAATTGCAGGAGCTACTGTGTAATGCCGATATTTTCCAGTCTAAGATCCGTCCCAATCTCTTCTCGGTCACGACCTGACCTTGCACGAACCGGGGCTAAATGACTCGGACGGAGGACGAAGCCCCGGTTCAAATTTATCTCTATTATCTCTTCGAATTTCGCCTCTCTGGGTCTCTTCGACGGCTTTCTTTTCACTTTCGTTATTGATATTCATGTCAAAACGCGGCGTTTCCTTCCCGTAAGAAGGGGAATGGGAAAAAGTCCCATTATACTCAGCCGATTGGAGTCGGCCTCGTAGAATCCCGTTGGCCCCTTATTACCTTATTCAATATCTTCTTCAATAAAAATAAAAAAAATAAAAAACATTTTGTTTTTACCACACTTACAGTTCTCTAATTCAAAGGAAAGTTCGCAACGCGATAACCTACTCAGCTTTTTTACAATTTTATTTTAGACCAAACAGCTTACTCGTAATACATTTTTCTCGATTTAACTAGTTCAAACACAATCCAGTCAAACATTAAATGTGGTCAGAAGGGAAGCATCCTCTTGAAGAATAATATTATCATAATTACGACGGTGAAAGATCCATCAAGGGTGAACCGACGTCATTGAGGCACGTGTGGAATGCTAGCCTTTGTAGCAGTGTTGCCAGGTCTGAAAAAATATCCCCACACGAGTACTGCATTATTCCCACAAATTTCAAAAATTCTCCACCACCTAAAAAAATAATTAGACCAAGTCATTAATACTCATGTTTATATATCATAAACGGTGTTAATTAATTTACTATTATTGTTTTTATTTTACTTTTAATTGGACACATTTCCTCAATTTCTCCGTTGGATTTCCCATTCTGGTAAGTTTTTCCCTCAAAACCAGGTAAAAATCCCCACCCTTGGCAACACTGCGGGCAACAATGTTCTTCCTTTCTGTTGTCTGCCACGTTATTGCCACTATTTTCAAGATGGTGCGCCTTTTTTAAACTCCTTGCATGAACGAAATATTTGATTTTTTTTTTTTTTGCATTTACTTTATTTTGCCGCCTGCATTGCTCCACAGCTAGGTCAGAAAAAAAGGGAAAATCCCACAAACATGGCAATACTGCTCGCAACGTGGTTCTTCCATTTTGGATCCTGCCACAGTATTGCCACTTGCTACTCTTTTCAAGAAGCGCTTTTTTAAACTTCTTGCATGAACGAAAGAGTTGTTCTTTTGCTTTATTTTGCATCAGAAAAAATTTTTAAAATTCTTGGCCAATCTGTTCGAACAGTTTAATTGTGTATTTAAAAGGCGCAAAATTAATAAGAACGTGAACGATAAAAATCTTCCTTATTAAAAATACGGATAAACCATTCCGTATGTGGAATGTGTAATGTAGTCCACTTGAATTGCCTTGTTTTATGGATAATAAAACCAACCGTCCTGCAGTACAATGGGCCCTGTCCGAAAAATAAAACTCAAATAAAACCCTTCACCCTTAAAGGTCCAGTCCTCTTCTCCAAACTCACATGTTTTATGTTTGTAGCCCCCCCCCCCTAGATAATGCAAAGCTAACATCATTTTCAACAACGTCCGTTTAATCCATTCCCTCTGCGCTTTCACATCCGAAGAAGGCAACACGTCGCCTTGAGACCTCGTCATCCCTCTATCCATAATATTGGGTGCCAGCATTAGTATAACATACGAATAAATTCATGCGTAAAAAAGTCAACAGAAGAACAAATGTGAAACCAGTTGAAGAAATGTCAAACTCTTGGCATTTTAGCATTTGTTTTTTCGGGGTGGGGGTAGGATTTAACAATTTAGAGTGAAAAACGCATTTCGTGTTGGATATGCTTTCGAAATGCTCCATTTTCGGCCGGGCAATAAAACTATAGCGGAGAATGCTGTTAGAGAACGAGAGTGGTAATAAACAGAGTTGCAACACTTTATCTCTTTGGATGTTTGACTAAGGATCCCGTAGCACTTTAGGAAACTTAAGATAAACGATTACATTCCAAGTGTCGTTAACCTTTTTTTTAAGAATAAAACGCTAATCTTTGAATCGGTTCTTTCTAAAGAAAAAATCCTTCTGAGCCTTTTCCCACACTTTTAATTTGCCTTGGATTAACAATTAAAAGAGAAGAGAGTCGGCAACTTTTCTAATAAAAAGGGGGAAAAAATGAAATCATAACCCTGTGTCATATTAGAAAGTTTACATTCGTGCCTTCGTGGTATTTGTTCCACAACCAAGTTCTGGAGGAAATGTAAATCATTTGCAGAAGGGATTAAAAGTGAATCCGCGCTAATGCGTCTCAAGAACAGAAAAAGAAAAAAATAATAAAAAGGATTAAAACAGTTTCTTTTCTTGCTTATAATTTCATTTTTTTAAACAATTTTAAACAATTGTTTGATTCTCAATAGCTTTTTGCAACAAACTATTTAATTTTGGTTGGAACTTGCCCTCGGTAAAGTGAATAATTAAGCAAGTAAATAATTGTTTTCCTTTTTACAAAATTTTACTTAAAATTTATTGCTTTTTGAAAAGTGCGCATAAATGTAGATGTTTTATTCTTCTCTTCTACATCTGCTAAAGAAAGACAATTATTCACTTTACCGAACGCATTAAAAAATATTGCTCTAATAGGAAAATTTAATTTTAATTTAATCAATACCACTTAGTCATCATGATTATACATTCAAGTTGAAGCGTCAACCGAAAGTTTTTTGGTCAATTGAATTATGCGAAAATGTGTGCACATACCAGAGGATGGAGGCCACCGGCGGGGATCTTATGCTAATCGGCTCCTATTTTTACACGCTGACGATTCGGACGGGCGAAGACCATTGAAAAGTTGTTTTTAATCTACCGTTTGGCCAATATCTTCTGATAGATAACTTGCATCACCTTTAACTGGGTGGGGCGTTTTTCAGTGAGCCACCCGTGGCCGTAGATGATATAACCATCCCTAACCATTCATCACGGATGAACTACGAATATTTTTGCCTTAACTAGAAATAGAAACCTACACCTCGATACAATGGAACCATCTCAACAGAATACATTCCGCGGTCTCTTCCTTTTTTTTAGCAAATTGTGCTCCTCGACTTTTATTAAAGTGCATTAGTCAGCTTTAGGTTATTGATGTCGTAGTGCTTCCCTTGGATTGAAAACTCCTAATGATTTGTCCCCAACTAGTAAGAGAAAACTACAACTTGTCTTAAAAGCTCTTTTACTTTTGATAAAGCTCATTAGTCATCTTTACGTTATTGAATCCATCATGCTTCCTTTTTGTAGAAGATTGTTTGTGCTTTTTCATTACTTACCAATAGAAGCCTACTCTTGAAAGAGGAGGTTACAAGGGTCACCTCTACTTAAAAGTTCTTTTAATTTTGTTAAGGCTCATTATTCAGCTTTAGGATATTGGATCCATCGTGCTTCCTTTATGTAGAAGAAGGCTTGTGCTTGCTACGCCTAGTACGACTGCTAGGTCTAATGGTACAAGGTGTATTTTTTTAAATTACTGATCTAAATAGAAGAAGTGGCCATAACAGGTGGGAACTCGACCTTAAAGTTCTATTGTTCCCTTTATACTTTTGTTAGAATTCATTGGTCAGCTTTAGGATACTGATTTCATAGCTAGTGCTTCCTTTTCGTATGAAAATGCTTGTGATTTTACTTCGCTTAACTGTACTTCCGCGGCCTCTTTTTGCCAAAATCGCCACAATTTCGCCATTTTATGTGACAGTGTCAAAGAGAGCTTGCCAGAATCCGAGGCTAAAAACGGTAAGAACCTCAGACGATACCAACTTCTCTAATATATTGATAGTGCTCTTTTTTATGGGGGCGTTAACCATGGTCATCCCTTATGTTACCAACGCCATAACAAATTCCACTCCTTAATCGCTGGTCATCCCAGTTCTTTAGTAACCTGGCTTTCCTAATCCTTCCTGATAGGTTGCTTGACAGGTGTATCCAACCTTGAATGTGTTCTGCGGTCTTTTCCTCTCCTTGGCATTATCTGCACAATGGGTCCTCTGCCAATACTTTGAGGTACCAATGACCTCTAGGAGGGCAGGGTCCTTGTTTGACTTGCTAAATTCAGAGTTTTCTTTCGGTTACCCTACAGTAAGTCTTCTAAGGGTTCTACATGTGGAATCTTTTCCAGTATTTGGGCTAGGCGGTTTGGGGTATGTTCATATTCGCTCCACTCTTCGCCAATCATTACTTGTGTCCTGAGGGTCTGAGAAACAGTGGCGAGAGTCAGGACACTGGTGGTTGAAACTGTGTGCCAAAGAGTATCGCTTTCTTCTTAGTGTGTATTCCAACATTTGAAAAACCGTATCATATCTGCAGTCCTTGTATTAGGATAAGGATCCTTATATTAGGATAATGTATCATTTTATTTTTGGTTTTCGACCAGTCGGCTTACCAGAAAGAATTGGCTTTTGGTATAATTACTTTGTACTTGTTAAAGTTGACTTTGGGAGTTGGTAAATCAGTCGGCATACCTAATTTGGCGTCTGACTATAACTCCGTCAGCCTTTGTCCATTGCCCGGCTTTGCGAATAGTATGTAACAGTCTATGAGCAGTTTGCTCGATAAAAACACGTCCCACATAGAGAAAGGTCTTGAAGAAAAGTACAACTCTCCTTCATCGCGCATGGCCTTTCAGTGCTACTAGCTTGATCGACTTAGTCACCATACTACCGATCCGTGTCAACATCGTATTGGACGATATGAAC